CAATGATGAGAGAAATGGGAGAGAGTGGAGGTGTATGGTGGCTAAAAGTCGGTCAGGCGACAAATCAGTGCGGTTGCTTTGTCCGCATTGAAGTCGACAAAACTGCAACGAAAGCAGCAGAAGCTCCTTGGCCGAAGTCCCCTTACTTACTGGGTGAAGAAAAGTTTCTTATTATTTTTTTTTTCATTTTCTGATTCGGATAATTTGCTTGCACACACATTCAGTGATATTTTGATCATATGACGCATTTTCATCAAGATACATGTACCGGTACATAATTTTCTGCATACAAATTTTTGTTGACTCAAAATCAAAAGTGATGATACCTGTGACAGTAATACAGTACGAAATGTGTACATCAGCATGTGCCTCCTACAAATTAAGACTTGTTGTTTTTTTGATACACTGTGGTTAAATTCGTAATAATAGCTCCGTAGTCCTGTGGTTTTAGCAGCATTTTTTTTTTTGTGGCCGAATTTTTTTTCGCCCTCTCGCATTAGTTTTGGGGTCTTCAGAGGATGTCATCCATAAAATTAAATCAGTGAGGCCTTAAAAAAAATATGACTATTAAGTCAACATCATTAAAATTGAGGATTACGTGAATTTGACCCCCTCCCTAATATTGTTTCACATATCCCTTAAAGAGGGGGGGGGCAAGGTTTATTTTCGTTCAACGTAATTGCAATATTTTTTTGTTCGTACTACGTAAATTGAAAAAATAAATTCCGTAATTCTGTAATCACAGGCTAGACGTACAACGTAATCGATCAAATATTTTTTTCGTACACTGTAAAAATGTGTAATTTTTCTTGGTACGTACAAGGATTTACATCCAAATAAAAAAATCGTAAAGAATAATCCTGGGAAATTACATTATAGAAACTGTAAAACGACTAGATGACAAAATTCACTACAAAATTGAATGTCAAGACGTAAAAGGCCCTCTAACCGAATGAAGAGCATTACGAGGGTAATATGCGCATGCGTCTCTTCACACGACCCAGCAATGGCGGAGAATTTGAGCCGGAGAGCTCTTCGGACCATTCATTGTTCCATTTTTTAACACTGTAAAAACGATTTTTTTCCCTTGTAAATTGTAAAACGCCCTTTTTATTTCCCGTAAAACCGTACCAGCTTACCCCCTTTCCTCCCCTCCTTAAAAACATGGCCGCCGTTAAATCCATATCAATCGAGGTCCGTAATTTATTTTCCTGCTCATAATGGAGATAAATTATGGTAGCTAAACATTGAAATTGCCACCCTGACTTCAGTACCGAAATAAATAGCTGATTGGGAAAATGTGTCTTTGTTGACAGAGGTTCGATTTACCGATAAACTTCCACACCGCATGGAGCATGGAGGTTCCGTTCATGAGTGCAATAACGCACTCGGGTATCATATTTACTTCAAAGGTAATTTAAAAGTGATGATAGATTCATTGATATTGAATTACCGTAATTTTCAATTTCATCATTGCTTTCAAGCAGTCATAGTTGGCCGAACTTGACTTGCGTTTTCGCGATAATTCTAGTCTAATATGTCGTCACGAAACCAACGAACACCGAAAATAGCAATCGTACATAACATAATCACGATCAGCATGTTCTAAGCTTTTAAGTTTTTATTATTCCAGTATTTTTTATGCCAAACGTTATTTCCAAGCCTCCTAAATGACGAGATAAACTTTCGATTTACACGTTTCATAACCAGTTCT